CTTGTCCCGTAACGAGACCAGGATGCCAGTGAGCAACTTGTTGAGTCCATCGGGTGGCGCAGTGACGGGCTATTGTGTGGGCCTGTCTCCACAGATGTCGTCGCTGTTTCGTGACCCATGGCTCCATGTCGTGTAGGTCCATCAAACAATTCACTCTGTGTGTTGCGCGGCGGATGGATTCGAGCCACGGCTCAGTGAGGTCGTCAGCGATCATGTTCGTCGGGGTTGCTGCCGACGTCATCGTCAGAGGACGCGGTGGTAGATGAACTGGTGGTTGTTGAAGTAGAAGCCGCGGATGAGGCGGAAGTGCTGTCCGAGAAATGACTTGGCGGGTGGTTGTAGACTGTGCAGTGTGCTCGTCGTGGTGGTTTTTCCGGCATCATGGCGTGCTAATGATCATTATGATCAGTCTTTGTTGTGTGGTGTTGAGCTGTCGTTTCATGGACTCCGTGAGTGTCCACGTGCCCCCTACGTAAAATGCCGTCGGAGTCACAGTGGCGTCGAAGAGCCTGAGTCGGTGCTTCAGTGGGTAGCTGTTGCTCGTGAGCTCCTGCCGGTGGCGTGAATGCGGCCCACGCGCATTTGATCTGGTGTTGCAATTCCACCGCAATTGCTTCGCTGAATAATGTCTGCCCGAGGTATTCGAGTTTCCCGTCGCGCGGAAAAATCTCAATTTCCATGCCGCGCATGTTGACTGATCGCGCGCATGCTCGGCCCGTGCGTTTGGTCAAAGTGGTCATGATGTTTGTCTTCGCTGGGTGTAGTTCGAGCCCGTGGGCCGCGGCTGCAGTAACGATGTCGGCGAGCATCTCGGTGAGTCGCGGCCATCAGTAGCACATCATCTGCGAATCGCAGATTGGTGAGAATACTGGAGCTGATGTCGCTGAGTTGGAAGCCGTGGTGGGTGTCCCGCCATTTTGTCGTCAGCGGTGCCATGACGTGTTGCAGCACGGCGTTGAAGAGCAGGGAGCTGAGAGGAAATCCCTGTTTCGTCCCGCGGCGGAGAGAGAATGGCCGGCTGGCAACGTCAGTGCGTACTGTGGCTGTCTGGTAGTGGTAAAGCTGTTGTAGTGTGGTGATGCACCCTGGCTCGATGCCCTGGGCGCGCAGAGATTGCCAGCCGCTGTCGTGCTCGACAGAGCCGAAGGCTTTCTTGTGCCCGTTGTCATAGAAGTTGGAATGTAAACAAGTGGTCCGTCGTAGAGTGTCCAGGCCAGAAGCCTGCTTGATCAGGTGCTTGGTGTGTGTGTGTGTGTCGAGTATTGACTGGAGTTGGTTGCAGAGTAACCGGCTGCACAGCTTGTATAGCACAGGTATGCCACATATCGGTCGGTAGTTGCTTGGGAGTGTGAGGTCCCCGGCCTTGGGTATGACAGTGATAATGGTCTGTCGCCACCTCTGTGGAGTCGGAGCTGCTGGTTGCAGCGTGGTGTTGTACAAGTGGAGAAGGGCTACCTTGAGATCGTCGCAGGAATCTTTGAGCATCTCTGCGTTGATGCCTCTGTTGTCGGGAGCGTTTCCTCTCTTTTGTTATGTGATAGCCTTGACAAGCTCTTCTCTAGTGAAGGGTTGCACCAGTGGGTGCGAGATTGCTTGTGGTGGTGATTGGTTGGTCGAGTGGTAAAGGGTCTCGTAAAGTCGGCGAACGCATTCGCAATCTGCTCCCTTGTGGTGCAGGTGTGGCCGTGTCTGTCGGTCATATGTGAGATCAGGTGTCGTTTTATGTGTGTCTTGATTTGCGCGATCGTCTTTAGGCCACGAAAGTTGGCAAGTATTGTTGATATCTGTTCGCGCCTGGTGCAGTGCTTGATGTGGCGGAGCAACTTCCAGATGTCTTTGCTGAGTCGTCGTCGTTGGTCATGGTCGGAGCTGGATGTAGAGCGCCGCTGTTGGATCAGTTGTTGAAGGCGGACTTCGTGAGAGCGTGTCTGGGCACTGGTGTTTGGTGATCTTGTAGTCGTGTCTGTGAGTGGGATGGAGTCGAGGATGATTTGTTCGATCTGGTTGCCGAATTCATCTAGTCTGGTCTTGTCTGGTGGGCGTATGTTGATGTACGGAGTCGTGTTTGCTGCTGGGGTCGGTATTGGTCTTTGTCCACACTGGGCCATGGTTGGCCCCCCCTGTTGGTATTGCTGGTCGCATTGTGGGTCGTCGGCGCTGTCGTGCGGGCTGGCGCGAGTCGTTGCCAGAGTACGGGCGGAAGCCTGAGTATGATGATGACCACATTGTGGTCTGAGCCGAGGTCGACTCTGTTGTTGGCCTCAGCATCAAGAGTGTTGAAAGAGGGCGCGGTTCACGAGGATGTTGTATGCTGGCTGGAAGTGTATGTGATCTGCTTGAGTGTCGGTTTGCAAAAGAACGTGTTGGTAAGTACGAGACCTTGTTGTGTAGCCCAATGCCCGAGCCATTGCCCTCTGCTGTTCGACTCGCCGTAACCGCAGGGGCCGACACATCGTGATGTGACGCTGTGTCAATTCTCCTCCGGGTCGAAAGTTCAAGTACCATCGTGTTGGCCGACTTGGGCGTTGAAGTCAGTGCCGATGATGAGGCGTGCGTTGGATCGTTTGCATCGCGTGTGTGTTTGTCGTGGAGCACGTCGTTGCGGCTGTCGTTGTAGCCTGAATGCGGAAAGTACGCAGAAGCATGTTGAAGTCGTAGTTTGCCGCGTTTGGTGGAGAGTGTTGCAAATCGTGAGCTGTGGTCTTGGAACTGGTGCAAGAAGTTTGTCCATCGTTTGTGTATCGCTATGGCTACCCCAACTGCTTGGTGTTGCCTGCTCCTGCGAATGTATGGCCGTCCTTTGTGGTCCAAAGTTCCTCCTTGTGTGCGCGCCATTTCCCGTTGGTCATGGTAAAATCCCAGTGTCGGTGCTAGAGTTCGATGATGAGCTCGTCCACCCCGTCGTCGGACACAAGAGATCTTGCGTTCTTGCGTATGACCGTCAAGTGGAGTGACGGGGGCTTGTCGCCCACGTTGTGCTTGGAGGACCGTGTGGTCGTCGTTGTCCTGGATGTTGAGTCGTCGTTGGATGCTGCCGGTGATGGTCGTAGTGGCTCTTGGTGTCGCGGTCGTTGTTGCCGAGTGGGCGATGATTGGTGTGGTACTTGTGGCTTGTCGTGTGTTTGTGATCGTGATGGTGGGAATGGTGCATATTGGATGGGTGCTTGTGTGGGTGGTCTGGAGTCGGTGATCTTCTCGCTGGGCGAGAACGTTGCCGTGGAGCGCCGCACGTTCGTCAGAATACTGGTGGGCACGTCTCCACGGGCGTCGCTGTCGTCGGACCTCCCTCCTCCCCTGCTGAATAGGTGTGTCGGAGGAGGAGGAGGAGGAGGAGGAGGAGGAGGGGGAGGAGGAGGAGGAGGAGGAGGAGGGGGAGGAGGGGGAGGAGGGGGAGGAGGAGGGAGGGAGGAGGGAGGGCCAGTGTATTCACCGCCGAGAGCTCCAGGGGGGGGGGTCAAGACCACAAACTTCTAGAGGTGTTGTAGGATTCATGACGGAGGTCGATCGTATCGGGTCCTGGGCTGGAGTCGAGGTGCGGGTTGGGCCGACGTCGGCCCTGCATCTACGTGCATCTGAAAAAAGTCTATCTGGTCCCCTTGCGAATGATTGAAAACCTGTGGTCGACGAGTTTCGCCAACGTTTGCTCCTGGCGAATGATTGAAAAACTGTGGTCGACGAGTTTCGCCAAGGTTTGCTCCTGGCTGCGAACCCCTGCAGCACTGTGCCACATCGAAGTTGCACCGAGACTACTCGCAATCTCATGTTCTAGTTGTTTGGCGCTTTGGCCACCTAGGCCTTGATGGAGTTATCGACCTTGTTTTTGATCTCCTCGCCCTGTCCTCATAATCGTCGTCACAATCATCATCACTATTGCCATCATCCCAGTCATCATGATCATCATCGTGGCCACCATGGTCATCGTCATCGTCATCACCATCGTCATCGTCATCGCCGAGATTCTCCGCAAGCCTTGCGCGAGGCGGAGGCCACAGCTGCTTGCTGGAGAGCCTCTTGGGGGAGGCGGCGGTCGCGGCAGGTCCCTGGAGCAGGGCGGACCCCCCGCGAGCGCCTGGCGAAAAGGCGGCAGCCTCGGCCGTTCATGGCCGAAGGAGCTGGGGCCGGCCTTTTCCCCTCGAGGGCCCCCCAGGCAGAACGCAACGACGTCTGCCTCAGCCCGATCGACGGGCGTCAGGTAGCACGAAACCGGGTAACGCCTAAACGGGGTAACAGACCCACCATGGGATCCAGTTGGGAAACTGCGACGACCAGAACAAAAAAATGCACCGCATTTTTCTGCAACGCAAACTGCCATTTGCTAGCAACTAGTTGCGGGAAAACTGCAAACAAGCCCCACAGACCGGGCAACAGAGGGCCCAAAACAGAAAATTGCAGTGCAGCAGCCGAAAATGTGCAACACAGCCAGCATGTGCATCGAATGGAAGGTGCTGCATCGAACGCGAAAGCAAAAAAAAAAAACTGCACTGCAACAAAAAGGGCCATCTGATGCCTCGAACTGGCCGTTTCCTGTTGCCCCGTCTGCTGTTACCCCGTCTCTGGCTCCCCGAGGGCGGCGGCTGCGGCGCCCTCCGGCGCACGACCGCGGGGCAGCCGGCGCCCGCACGCCCAGGTGTCGGCACGCAGCGCGGGCGTGGGGCAGACGGCGGGGGGGAGGGAGGGAGCTGCCGAGAAGCCGCCGGTGCAGCATGCGCATTGCGTAGCTGGGCACGCCGTCGATGCTGCGCGAGGCACCGCCTCGGTCCCTCCAGACGTGTTGGTAGGGCGGGCCCGGCGGGTCGCGGGAGGGGTCCCCGCCATCTGCGATCCTGAGGCTTGAGATTGGTAGAAGTTCAGAATGGTGGGCGGGCGGTTTTCGAAGTGTGGCCCTCGCCTGAGCGCCACGCACATTCGTCTTAACAGTTAGCACTAGGTCGGGCATGTCCTCCTACAGGCGGATTTTGGACGGAAAATAAAAAATTGTCCACAATGTTGCAAAATACTCAACACTGATCAAAAAGTCGCCTCCACACTATTTTTGACTAGTTTTGAATATTACTCCTGTAGAGGGACAGGCCCGACTTGAAGTCAGCATTCCCCCCTACCCCTGCCCTGATGGGCCTGTTTTCCACCACCACCACCACCACCACCACCACCACCATAATTAAGTTGGAGGGGGAGAGGGTCCTCCTCCTCCTCCTCCTCCTCCTCCTCCTCCTCCTCCTCCTCCTCCTCCTCCTCCTCCTCCTCCTCATCGTCCTCGTCCTCGTCCTCCTTCCCCTCTCCAACTTCTGGTGGCGGTGGTGGAAGACAGGCCCGCGCCACGCCTGGAGCATCCATCCCCTCGGCTGGGCACGCGCGCCCCCTCACGGTGCCCCCGCCCGAAGCCAGAGAGCCGACGCTCCAGAAAAGAAATTGAGCAGGCGGTTTTGGGCCACTCTCGGCCTCTGGGGGCCCTCGCTGGGCCTCGGGAGCGCCAAGAAACGACTCGGGGCGAACAACTGGCCCTGGGGAGGTGGTCGGGACCTCCGGGGCCCACGCATCGAAAAAGTTGGAGCAGCCGGACGTCTGGGAACATCATGCAGTACTGTACTCTCGGCGGCGACGACAGGGGCGAACATTTGTAGTCCCGAAACGGTGCGGTGACAGACCGTGCGGTGACCTCGAAATCACCCAAGACCTCACCGCACGGTCCGTCACCGCACGGTCTTGTGACCCCAGTGGCCCCTGTCGCCCGAGACGTCCTCGGTGAGGGCCTCGAGTCCCAAAACCGTGCGGTGACCCCGAATCCCCACCGACTCACCACACGGTGTGGTCACCACCCCGTTTGGGAGCCCCCGAGAACAGCCCAGGGGCGGGCATGACACGCATTCGCCTGTGAGACTTCGCCGAAGGCGTGAACCATCGGCACCCCTTGTCACACGTAGTGCTCCCCCCTGGGCTACTCGCCCCCATCGTCGCCGCCGCTCGCCTGGGTCCCCAGACCCCCTCGGGCAATGAAAAAATCATGACGGCAGATTTCTCCATATTTTCGGCCTCCGGGGGCCCTTGCCGGGCCCCGGGACCGTCAAAAAACGACTCAGGATGAAAAACCAGCCCCAGGGAAAGGGTCGAGCTCTCTCAGGGTCGACGCTATGAAAAAATCATGACGTCGGGGGTCCAGGTCTCTGACCCTTGAGGCAGAGCCTTTGGCGAAGCACTTTTCCTGGAGGTCTGCGGGGAAGCCATCCGGGAGGTGGGAGGGAAGATATTTCAAGGAGGAGACCCCCAGAGGCCACTCCTTCTCCTCCTCGCCTCAGGAAGATCCTGAGATCCGACGGCGCGAAACAAGGGAGACCTCGTGCTAAAGATGACGACCAGGGCCCCTTCGGGCCGGATCGATCTGTGAGGGCCCCAGGGCACAAGCCTGACAAAGACGGCTGGATCAAAAAAATGAGGCGCCCAGCCCAGATCTCAGGGAAGGATCAGGCCCAAACGTCCGGCTGCTCCGATTTTTTCAATGCGTGGGCTTCAGAGGTCTGGAACCACTTCCTCCGTCAGGCCGATTTTTCGTCCCGAGCCTTCTTTGGACGCTCCCGAGGCCCAGCGAGGGCCCCCAGAGGCCGAACACGGCCAAAAACCGCCCGCTCCCCTTTTTGTTGGAGCGTCGGACATCTGGGACGAAGCCGCCCAGCTCGACAAAATAGAAGCGCCCAGCTCCCAGGGGGAGGCTCCGAGGAAGAGATTCGCGTCGGGCATGTACTCCTCCTATACAGACGAACTTTGGAAGAAAAACGAAAAAAATGTCCACAAATAATCAAAAATATTCCAAAAAAATATTCCGAATATATTCGAAACAAATCAAAAAAACAAAAAAAAAAAATAGACCCCAGCTGGAGCGTCGGACCTCTGGGACGAAGCCGCCCGGCTCGACAAAATGTAAGCGGTTGGCTCCCAGGGGGAGGCTCCCAAGGACGAGATGCGCCCTTTGGCGCCCCGTGGCGGCCAGCCTCCCCCCCCCCGCGGGCGGCGCGCGTCCCAGTCGTGCTCGTGCGGGGGGCACTCGGAGTCGAGGCTCGAAGAGAAGCGCCCGCGGTTCTCCTGAGGGGCGCGCCCCACGACCCACTCGGGGAGAGGAAAACCTCGCGATACAAGAAGCCTTTTCCGCGTATTTTCAAAACATCTGGGGGCCCTTCCCTGCCCTCGGGGCCGTCAAAAAGCCAGGCAGGATGAGAAAACGTTCCAGGGGAATGGCTCGAGACCTCTGAAGGTCGACCACTGCTATTCCTAAAATTACTACTACGCAGATCACTACCACTACCACTACCACTACTACTACTACTACTACTACTACTACTACTACTACTACGACTACTACGACTACTACTACTACTACTACTACTACTACTACTACTACAAATTACTACTACTACTACTACTACTACTACTACTACTACTACTACTACTACTACTACTACTACTACTACTACTACTACTACTACTACTACTACTACTACTACTACTACT